TATATATATATATTTGTGCTGCTGTGTATGTTTTGCTGCTGCAGCAGCAGCAGCAGATACAGCGATGAGGTGTACATACACCTCAGCAAGGGAGATGTTGCTGCTGCTGCTGCAGTGCTGCAGCAGTTTTGGGGTTTTCTATCGACTGCTGTTTTGCCTGCCGCACAAATTGAAGTTAAAAACGCAGAAAATATATGCAAGCAGCAGCATCAGCAGCAGCAGCAGCAGCAGCAGCAGCAGCAGAAAGAGCAGCAGCAGCAGCAGCAGCAGGAAGAGCAGCAGCAGCAGCAGCAGCAAGAGCAGCAGAAACAGCAGGAAAAGCAATGCCAATACGACCAGCAGCATGAGCAGCAACAACAGCAGCACCACAATCAACAGCAGCAGCAGCAGCAACTCCAGCAGCAGCAGCAGCAGCAGCAGCAGCAGCAGAGGATGCTTGAGCAGGGCCGTGTCTGGCCTTTTGTGTTAAATAAAATATTTTATATTTTTATTTTTTGTTTGCATGCGTTTGCTCCTTTTATATCTGAAGCTCTTCATTTGGCTTTATATTCAGGTGTATCGACACCACACAGCAGCAGCAGCAGCAGCAGCGGCAGCAGCAGCAGCAGCAGCAGCAGCAGCAGCAGCAGCAGCAGCAGCAGTAGCAGCAGTGATAGCAGCAGCAACATAAACGGTAGCTGCTGCGGTAGAAATAACAGCAGCAGGAACGATACGAACAGCAGCAGCAGCAGCAGCAGCAGCAGCAGCAGCAACAAAGCAAATAACAGCAGCAGCAACAGCAGCAGCAACAGCAGCAGCAACAGCAGCAGCAGCAGCAGCAGCAGCAGCAGCGTTCAGCCCCTGTTGTGTTTACCTTGGCCTGTGTTGAGAGGTATATACACCTCAGCATAGCAGCAGCAGCAGCAGCAGCAGCAGCAGCAGCAGCAGCAGCAGCAGCAGCAGCAGCACTAATATATATTTTTATTTATATAATAAATAATAATATATTTTGTTTCTTTCTTTTTCTTTCTTTTTCTTTCTTTTTTTTTTGTCTCCTTTCTCTATCTGTCTCTTTTTTTTGTTGCTGCTGTCTCTGTTGCTGCAGTTTATTTTATTATTTATTTATCTATAAATAATAAATTAATTATGTTTATTTTTATTTGTTTATTTATTTATTTATATTTATTTGTATTTATATTTATATTTATATTTATATTTATATTTATATTTATATTTATATTTATATTTATATTTATATTTTTATATTTATTTATATTTATATTTATATTTATATTTATATTTATATTTATATTTATATTTATATTTATTTATTTATACTTATTTATTTATTTATATTTTTTCTTCCGTTTATTTATTTATTTATTTATATTATTCCTATTTATTTAATTTTATTTATTTATTTATTTAATTATCTATTTATTTATTTATTTATTTTTATTTTTTTTTTTTTTATTTTTTTATTTTTTTTATTTTTTTTTAATATATTTGCTGCTGCTGTCTCTCTTCAGGCTGCAGCAGCAAAGAAGCAGAATTTGTTTTTGGTGTTTCTCGTGCTGCTGTCTCCTGCGTTCGTTCTCTGCTGCATAAGCGACGCAAGCAGCAGCAGCAGCAGCAACAGCAACAGCAGCAGCAGCAGCAGCAGCAGCAGCAGGAACTGGAACAGGAGGAGCAGCAACAGCAAGTGGAGTTGCAGCAGCAGCAACAGCAGCAACAACAACAGCTGCAGCATCCGCAGCAGCACCAACTGCAGCAGCATCCGCAGCAGCACCAACTGCA